TCTGCCCTCAGCAAAACACCCATTTAGTGCAACAAGAACCCTGCAAGTTAATGCCAGAGCATATTGGTTTTTGTATCGCGAATATAGTGCAGTGTAGTGAATAAAAATTTGAGCTGGTGAGGACTGAGCCATGGCCATTGTCCTCAAGTTGCTTCAGATACATCTTATACCTGAGTCTTGTCTTGCACAGCTTTACCTTTTTTGTTCATGTTTTTTGGTTGTACTGTAGGTGTAGCAATGCCAGACTCCATTCAGCCAGTAGTAGGGTTATTTGTTCCAGAAAGTCCCTCATTTACAGTACCAGTTCAGTCTGTCTAGTTCTGTTTTGAGTTTATATTTTGTATTTTATTTATTGCTATTTATTTTTTTAAATATGCAATATTTCATGCATAAATATAGCATATATAAAAATGCATAGCTAAAAATAAGAATTGAGTGTTTTGTGATGGGGCTAGTGAAAATAGCATGGCAAGTATGGTTGAAATGTTGAAATTGATTTTTTTTAAATATCAAAATATTAAAAGTGGACCAAAAGTTCATATTAAAGATATTTTTATACTTTAGCACCCATGTGCCTGTGGTTGCTCAGTCTTTTGAGTCTGATACAAGAATTTCTGGTATGTTTTAAGAGCCAGGTCAAGGTGGGAATACATCTGTCATGTTTGAACTGCTGAGGCCAGGTAAGGCAATTCCTGCTGTTTTGACCCAACTCCGAGTACCTAAGCTAGGAATTCTAGGAACCAGTGTATATTTGAGATGATGTGTGTGCATTTGTGCTCTAAATTATTCACATCGCACTGATGTGGAGTGATTTGTGTGTGCACACTTGAAGGCCTTGAACCTTGTGCCATGACCCTAGTGGTCAGTTTAACCACTGCATTTTGTGGTTATCGAAGCTCCTGTATGGCTTCACCATAGATTCGTCTTGGACGAAACTTGGAGTTCTGTATGAGTGCCTTCAAATCCCTTTGAGGTTCCACACTTCTGCCTCTCCTTCTGATTTCAGCCCAATCCACTATCTTTTTCTAAGCATCAGCTTTTCACTCTCTTACTGTGGGGGCAAATGCCAGCCAATGCTCCACAAAGTGCCTGTGGCTTTGAGAAATGAAGGTGTGTTGCCCAGGCCCTTTGAAAGAGGTTTTCTTTCAACATGGTCCCTCCCAAAAACAGCACATCAGTTGTGGGCAAATATTCTGCTGGATCCAGCGGACGCCAGCACTTCAAAGCACTGAAAACTTCCTGAGAAGAACCTCAGGAGAGGTTAAATCCAGGTTAAATCCAGTTGGGCTGCCGTCTACTTTAATGACTTTCCTTTCCCATAAAGTTGCTTCTGCACTTCAAGCATCAGGAAATTCCTTAAGTCTTAACCTAAATATACCATAACATTTTCAGTCCTCACTGAGGATGTCGTGTTTAGGTTCTGCACATCTCATTCTGGTTGACCTATAGTGGGAATTTTGAGCGTGGCCCCGGGGTCACTGCTGGTCATTGTGATGTTGCAAATACGAGCTGAATAAAGACTTAATCCAGCCAATCAAATGAATGCTTTTTGTCACCTGAGGGTGATTATGGGATAAGGTTGGCTAAGTTTGAACTCCAGACAGGAGGAAGAATAAGGAAGTGTCTACTCGGGCAGAACCACAGACACCTGCTGGGGTCCTAATTCACTTGCCAAGGGCTGAATTAATTCCATCGTGTCTTAATTAAGGCTTGGAGAGAGACTGGCACCAGAGATGCTTTCAGATAATCTTCTGGACAAGGGATTTTCAAACTTTTTGATGTTAAGTAATGTTCCCCCTTTTCTAAAATAAAAAGGCAGCTATATATTTGCTTGTATAAAAGCAATTTATACCATGTGAGTATAGCAATATTAAAAGTGGTATTGTACAGATAACAAAGTTAAATAATTGTTTGCATAACTGACTTTCACATTGTCATTGTACTAAACATTTTATATCGTTCTATCTTTCTTTAACATTTATTTTCTAAATATTTGTACATAAAATTATATGCAGATTTGTTTCCTCCTTACCTTTAAAAACTAGTGCTGACAGTATAAAGTCATTGCAAATAATCTCATGATTTCTGACCAGTCTTTAGAAAGTCAAATGAAATAGTATTATCAGATGTTGAATTTGAAAGTAAATAAAGAAAAAAACTCTGTTCTAGATTAATTTCTCCATGAGTGTTTCCACACTGAAGCATGTTATGATCCTCCTCTTATCAAATTAATGTTTTTCTTTTTCTTTTATATTGTTTATAATAAAATATTGTGTTTTTAGAATCATTACTTAATTCTTTATATTGTGTTTGTTATTTAAGGGTCTTCTAGTTAATTTTATCTGCCAACTCCTGTATCATTGACTGTTCCTGCTGAGTTAATAGAGCCTTAAAGGTGGGGTAAGCCATTTCTGGTAGCCAATGTTGACATTTGAAATCACCAAAACAAACACGCCCCTACCCCAAAAGGGTCTCGCCCCTATTTTGATAACTATGCCCCACACATACATACGTACGCAACCCAGGCAACGATTAGTTCTGTGAAACAAAGCAAAACCAATGTTACACCGTGTCTACACCGGACGCGAGTGGCGCGGCGCGACAAAATACTATAGAACTCATTATAATCAGTGATGCTGTCTACACCATATAGATAAACGTATATACATATCTATGGTCTACACTGGATGCGGCGCGGCACAACATGACAAATCCCCGACAGAAAACTGCTGCTGCGTTCTATTCATGACGTATTGACACAAATTTCAAATGATTTTCAACGGTCGCTTTGTCGCGTCCAGTGTACTACAGACTTTAGCTGTTGCGGCACAGACACGGTGTTACTCACCTATCGAGAAGAAACAACGCAACCTCAGAGTCCGATCGCAGGCTTTCCGCTCCTTGAGTTCTCTCCAGCGCTGGAAAGCTGATCAGATATTTACATGGGTCCTACTTCTTGCCTTAAGCGTTTAATCTCTCTCTCTTTCGCTGCATAAAGAATGGTTATCTTACATTGGCATTTTTTAAGGTAAATCAATGCCTGCCTTATTTTCTAGTCAATATATATCCTCACTCTTAAATTATTTGTAACCATATGTGCATTACTATTTAGCTCTGAACAAATACTTTAATCTACAATCAAAATTTTAATTAGCAATGCTGTTACTATTTTTTTTCTTTTTCTTTTTTCTTTTCCTTTCTTTTCTTTTTTTTTAATTGATTGAAAGGTCATTATGTGCTATTTGTTTCCGTCATCCCTAAGGCTCGTCTTGTCAGCTGTGGGCTTGTGATCGTATCACATATACCTGTATGTGTGCGTGACTTTAAAATCAGACCACTGTTATTCACGGTGTCCTAAAGAGCAGGTGGTTGTGGTTTTTACTTGTATTCGATGATCTGATTCCTGGTGTAGGCAAGGACTATCTGCCCGCACAGCTAGTGAAACTCAATCTCAGAAAGTTCTTCATTAATGTCCAGTGAGTCACAGTAGTGACCTAGAGTCTCAAAAGTGCATAGCGGACGTCTGTACAGCATGGAAATGGAATGAAGCTTTATCACAGCCTTAACATCAGTCATCACGGATGGCCAGCCCAGTCTGTATACTGTACAGTATCTCACTTTTTCCTTTGCTGTGTATTTATCTTTCTTTAACAAAGTTATGGTAATGATTTATACGTTGGTTGTAGTATGTATCGTGGTAGACTGGGCAGTAAAAGGTTATTGCTGTGTTGTGTTTGAAAATATTGTACCACCTACACTAACAACTGCGTTAAAACACAATTGTTGAAGCAGCCATGCCATTCTACCTTGCTTGTACAAGTCCTTAACCTGTTTTCTCATGATTTGTGTTTCACTGGACTTGAGTGCTGTACTAGGTGAGATACCAAGTAAGTTTACTATTTCAGAAAAGCCATACTTATGAAGATGGCTATGTGATGCAAACATCCAATTTAGTTTGCAAATGCACTATGGCAAAAGCGTTAGTCATAGGTCATAACAAGGAACTGCGTGAGAATAATTAATTGACATTCTGCCCCTTTAATCATAATTTGTGTGAGAAGGAGTAAAAGTTGTCGGTGTGTAATTTTAGCCGGATACTGCAGTGAACAGTATGTATAGCTGGTGTTTTTTTTTGTATTTATTTATTTATTATTTTTTGTAAAAATGTTATTAGAGGCACATTTTACCAATCAGCCTATGTTGGGAAAGAGAGCAATATACAGTGGGTACGGAAAGTATTCAGACCCCCTTAAATTTTTCGTGTAACACTGAGGGATGTTTTTACAGAGTTGAAAATGTCTATAATAACATTTTCCCAGCAGCAAAGATCAAAGTGGCAGCTCTTTAAACCTTAAATGTAATTTAATTAGCTATGGAAACAGTACGTGAACATTTCATGTCATTTCATAATGTTGTGAATAATGAGTGACGCAATGAATTGGAATATTTCAGAATGCGCCATAAAGTGTCTTTCCCATTTCGGAAAGTTTGCTTTGAAGCCGTTTCGGAATGTTTTCAGTGGAAAATTCACAAACCATTATTCCACTTGTGTGTTAAAATACAGCTTTATAGCATTTTATTTACATAGTTTACTCAGACTATTGGAAAATACAAGGTATTTTGAGAGCAGAGATATTGTCAAAGTTCACATGCCCACACAAGGCCTAGGCTGGTGAGGGCATGGGGTTCAACGCTGCTTGAACTGACTTAAGTCTTCTGGGACCCAATGCACCTGGTGCATCCTGGATAATTAAGTTGCAGCTATGAAGAGAGTGCAAGAGCTTTCTGAGGATCAGGTTTCATTATACTATCTTCTCGCCCCTCCAGATCTCTCCAATGCATGAGGCAGAGCCTCAATAACACTCAACTGCTGAATATATGGTTGCATGAATGCGTGTGAATGGTGATACTGTTGCAGGTTTAATTTGGTTTTATAGTGTCACTTAATGTTATTTGTTCAACTTCTGTCTAACAAACGCTTTTTTTCTCTCTTATTGTAGATGTGGACCTGTCGATATGCAAGCACGCTGGGCCGTCATGCTGTACGCGAAGAATGGAAGAGAGCTATAGAGCAGCGGTCCTGAGAGACACCACCCAGAACATCAGATCATACAGCTTTGAGCTGAAATATCTAATTTCTGCACATGCTGCCGCCTTCCAGGGTACACGGATGCATGCATGGATGGGAGATTAGATGGATGGTAGATGAATGGATAAGATAAGTGAAATGGATGGATGGATAAAGGAATGGACTGATGGATAAAGGGATGGGTTTATATGGATAAAGAAACATAAGCTCATTGGAAAGGCTGCCTCTGCCATTCATTTTTGTAGAACTCCAAAAATGTACCCATACATACAATTCTGTACAGTTTCCAGCTGAAATGGCCACTAGTAGCAGTAAAACGCCAACTACTTTTATTAATTTTCACACAAATTCTGATTACGGGCCAGGTTATTTACTAATAAAGACATATTTCTCAATGGTTCTTTGCACAATACTATGTTATGACCTTTTAACATAGTGCATGATTTGTAAACTAATACATTTTGACATTTGCTTGAGTGCTCTGGCACAAGTTCCATGATACATGAGTCACGGTAAAAGAGCACAAAAACGTGAAGCAAGCTAAAATGGCATGATCACTTCAATATATATGCATTTGCTTTTGTTCATCTGTTTCTGATGCTTTCATCACCACTTATTGGACATTTCACTTTGAAAGAGTTGCAAGATGTGCAAGAAGCAATGTAACATAATTTTGCCGAAATGCTGCCACTTGCACGTTTTTCCAATGAGTCTGGGTTGGGATGGATGGCAAATTTATGGCTTGGCTATTTCTATGTACCTGTCTTTGTTGCCCGTAGTTTGACTTGTTTAATTGGTAGAAATGTCATAGTGTTTTTTTCCAATGTGGTTTGGCATCCTGTGATTGGTAGAGCTGCTTTAGAGTTTCATCTTTGGCGCTGGTTGCCTGTGAACAGGATGCATCTTCTCATCATATTGATTAAAGCCCCAGATGTGTTTTTTAGGAAAGTATGAACTAGCTGCAAACATTCAGAAGCATTTAGTCTTAATTATGCTTGATTATGTTCTATGAAGTCTAGTTATATGAGGTTTGGTTGGGTTTACTGCATTAATTCCTTAGAAGGGAAATTTAGAGTACTTGCCCACACTCTCTCGAACCCAGTGGCCAAACCATAATCGGCAGTGGAGCTTTAAAGAATCTCAGTCATATGCAGCCTTGTGTGTGTTTTGGCAGAGAGCACCGGTTGTTATTAAGGTCTTCTGTCAGTTCATTCATGAGTATCAAGCCTTGGTGTGAATGAATGAGCTCTCACATACACTATTTCAGTCCTGCACTCACGATACGCTCATTTTAACACGATCTGCGGCCACAGACATGGACACATATTGCCACACATACTGCATCTCACAAACAGGGTTCAAACCACATACATAGTTTTCGGTTATGCTCTTCAATCATGCCTTTGTCTTTCCCAGACCATTTTCTTTTGGCATCCACAAGACAACGCAGATTGTTCATTGCATTCCAGTAAAGTACTTCTAATGTTTGTGTCTCGGATGTGGAGATATGCGCAGAATGTTTCACGTCAACAGGTCACATGCAGTAATCAGGAATGTTCAAACAATAGAGCTGATTGCCTTTTAAGGCTGCTGGTGTGTGTGTGGTGTCTGTGTTTTGAAATCTATAGTCTTTGTAGTGATTTATAGATTCTCCACCATTGTTCTTGAGGTTAGTGAGGATGATTGGTTGTGCCTAATATATAGTAAATATTAGTACAAAGACATTTAGGAGGATCCATCCTATGGAGGATTCGTTGTTTAATTTTTGGATAGAAATAACTTGAATTAGTGCTCTAGCCTAATCCTGACTAATCAGGTTCAATATGACGGGAAATCCGTACATTCTTACATGTTTATATCATGTCAATAAACAAACTTTACTAGTGTTGTCAATATACTGGAATTTCAAGATACTGGAACTTCAATGGAATACCTTGAAAAATATAGATATTCAATACAACTTTTGATACCACAGGGACATTAAAGTGCACTTAAATCTCTTAAAAAAATAGCCAAACTATTTGGGAAACACACACACATTCTCTGTGTGTGTAAAAATATATACATATATAATTTTAATAGTTATTTATCATAAACTTAATGTTTATTATTATTATTACCTCTGAGACACCAACTATACTGTAAAAAAATATTAAAAAGTATTTACAATTTAATTATTTAATTAGGTGTTAATTACTTTAGTTTATGCTATAGTAGCCTAGGAAAAATAAAGTACTTGTGTCTTAATTTCTTCACTTGCAAGAGTTAAACCCTCAAGCTTTACTTTTGGCAGAAAACTGCAGGAAGACCTTTATGTTTAGGTGGCAACAGGTTTACAAACGCTTCTCACCACAAATCTAGTGAAATGTTATAAACTTGTTGGAAAATTGTTGGAGATTATGCGAATGTGGAAAATAAAGGGCATGCATGTTAAACTAACAGCACATGCAGAGATTTAGCATTTACTGTGAACTGAGTGGCTCTGAGACGTTAAACTCTGGATCATGAGATGGTCGCCAAAATATTAACATTCTGAGTCATCATTTACTAGGGTTGGGTACCGAAACCCGGTGCCAATATGGCACCGGTACCTATGTAACCGGTATGTACTCGTACCGAATCAGAACGCAGATTTCGGTGCCTCATTTCGGTGCCACTTAAATGCCTGAGCGATCGATTGAAATATTTGTCCTGGTTCTCCGATATGGGCGTAAGAAGCATGGGCGTCGCTAGGCCATTTTTAGCGGGGCTCCATAAACTGTACTAAAATTCGTGATCGCCTCAGAAATTCCGCTTATCATCAATCACAACTCCAAGGTTTCTAGCTGTTTTTGAAGAAGTTATGGTTGATGAGCCTAACTGGATGGTGAAATTTTGATAAAGTGATGGGTTTGTTGAAACCACAAGCAGTTCTGTCTTAGCCAGGTTGAGTTGAAGGTGATG